TACTATTGACCATTACTGTCAGAAAAATTATTTATTAAAGTCGGCAAACAGGAAGTGGATGAGCGACAGACCTGAAATGAAATCCCACAGTATGGGAACATGCGTTAATGCAAACCAATGCAGGTTCAAATCCCAGTAGTGACTTTTATTTCTATCATATAAGTTAGAGATGTCCAACTAGTTTAGAGGTTTGTTGTTCTACTCTGGTGCCCAGTTGTGACTGAAATTATATATGAATGAGACCTGACATGTTCTTCCACCAATAAAGCTTGATATTCACTGCATGACATTTTCAGTGTTGGTGTAACTTAAAATACCAACTAAGCATCTCATAACAAATTTCAGTCAGTTTTTTAAAATGATGGTGTAAATTAAAACCTCTATTCTCACCCGATCCTATCACTGTTTTATCTTGAAATGAAGATAAACTTGTCATCAGCATTGATTCTTCATACTAGAAAAAATAACAATAAAATATATACAGTCGAGACTGTCATATGAGTTTTTATAAATCAATATACAAAACAATTATTAAGTAGACATATATATTTCCAACATGACCGAATAGATTATTTAGCAGAATGCATTTTACAACAAACTTTGACATGAATATATCTTTTCTCAAAGTCAGTTCATATATCTTTAATCAAGGACAGTTTTTAAAATAATGATGCAAAATATCAAATTTTATTCTCCCCTGTTTCTGTTTATACTCTTTTATTTTGGAAAGCATTTAAACTTGTCTTCTGCACTGATTCTTTATACAAAGTTTATTGAGATACTTACATTTCTGATATTATACAATATAATCATTAAGCAGACTGCACTTCAAAACACATTTTGATGTAAAATATTTTTTCTCAATCAGTTTTAGAAATAATGATGCAAACTATCAACTTTTACTCTCACCTGTTCTGAATCCATTGCTGTTTTATTTTGGAAATATATGAAACTTGTCAACTCATCATTGATTCATCATACTGCAAAAAATGTATTTAATTAAATCAGTATACAAAACAAGCTTTAGGTAGACACATACATTAGTGACACTACAACAATTAATAATTAGGCAGACTGCATTTCGCAACTAGATGCCTCATTGGCCCCGTGGTTAAAGTTGCCCACTTCAAATCACTGGCCCATAACCAGTGCAGGTTCAAACCCCAGTAGTGATTTGTGAGGAAGAATCAAACTAGTTTAGAGGTTTGTTGTTCTACTGTGGTGCCCAGTTGTGTCTGAATTATATATGAAGGGGCACCTGACATGTTCTTCTACCAGTAAAGCCTTATATTCACTGCATGTCCTTTTCACTGTTGGTGTAACTTAAAATACCAACTAAGCATCTCATAACAAATTTCAAAGTTTTAAAATGATGGTGCAAATTAAAAACCCTCTACTCTCACCCGATCCTATCGCTGTTTTATCTTGAAATGAAGTTAAACTTGTCATCAGCATTGATGCTTCATACTAGAGAAACAGTGTTTATAACTCAATATACAAACAAGTATTAAGTAGACATATGATATATATTCCCATTGTGACCTAATAAATTATTAAGCAGAATGCATTTTACAACAAACTTTGACATGAAAATATCTTTTCTCAAAGTCAGTTTATACATCTTTCCTCAAGGGCAGTTTTTAGAATAATGATGCAAAATATCAACTTCTATTCTCGCCTGATTCTATTACTGCTTTATTTTGGAAAGCATTTAAACTTGTCTTCTGCACTGTTTCTCCATACTAGGAAGAATTGGCATGTTTTAATGAATACTAAAATGAAAATGTTTTTTGAGAGGCATGCATTTCTGATATTATACAATATAATCATTAAGCAGACTGCACTTCAAAACAAATTGTGATGATAAAATATCTTTTCTCAATCAGTTTAAGAAATAATGATGCCAAATATCAACTTTTACTCTCACCTGTTCTGAATCTATTGCTGTTTTATTTCTGAAAGAAATTAAACTTGTCAACTCAGCATTGATTCGTCATACTGGAAAAAATTGACACATTTTAATAAATCAGTATACAAAAAAAGCTTTAGGTAGACACATATATTTCTAACACTACACAACTTAACCATTAGGCAGACTTCATTTGGTTATTAGAGTCCTCTTTGACCTATTGGTTATTTTAGATTGCCCACTTCAAATCACTTACCCCAAACGAATGCGGGTTCAAATCCCAGAAGTGACTTTTGATTATTTCATATTAGGAAGATGTCCAACTAGTTTAGAGATTTGTTGTTCTTCATACTAGAAAAAATAACACATTTTTATAACTTAATATATACACGGGGGAAGAAGTGTTACACGAGGGATGAAGTTCTTATGATAATTTGTCAAGGAGTTCTTGTGATAATTGTCACGGTGTTCGTCGGAAAACTATTGTATATACTACAAAATCATTCGTCAAAAATGGTAATTTTCATCTTTAAAAAGTGAGTTTTAGGTGCTAAATTAAACTTTAATGATTAAGCTTGCCCTACATATCGTATTATATGTCAAAAACTATCCTGATTATTTACAAAGTCACATCCAATAATAGCGATAATCAGTGAAAATCTAATAGAATAAGGTTAAGGTCATACATGTGTCAAGGTCAATTTAAGTTTGATAATCATGAAGGTCCATACATTAAAGATGTTTTGTCTTAATATGATAGTAATCCATTTATAATAAATAGGCAGATACAGAAACAAGAGGGCAATATTGGCCCGGAGTCGCTCACAAGAAACAACTGATTTCAGTGTTGGAATGTCAATATATTCTAATATTAAATTAGAGCACAGTATATGTTTAAACAATAATTTGAATGCTATGACCTGGGGTATTTAAGCTTTAGCTTAAACGGGGCTTATCAAATTAATTTGAGCAAACTAAAGATTACCCAAACGAATGCGGGTTCAAATCCCAGAAGTGACTTTTGATTATTTCATATTAGGAAGATGTCCAACTAGTTTAGAGATTTGTTGTTCTTCATACTAGAAAAAATAACAAATTTTTATAACTTAATATATACACGGGGGAAGAAGTGTTACACGAGGGATGAAGTTCTTATGATAATTTGTCAAGGTGTTCTTGTGATAATTGTCACGGTGTTCGTCGGAAAACAATGCTACAAATATTGGTGATCATCCATCAATTATTTCAGTAGGAAATGATGTTCGAAGGTTTTTGTTCTATTTTTAGCCCTAGAGACCGATAAAAGGGGCCAATCACATTAATATGAGCAAACTTGATAAAAGACTACCCAAGAATGCTACAGACAAAGTTTGGTGATCATCCATTTATTAGTTATGTAGAAGTATATGTTTAAGTGTTTTTCTATTTTTAGCTCTGCTGACCCCTAAAAGAGGCCAATTGTAATATAATGAGCGAATTCAATTGTGACTGTCACAAGAATGCTACAGACCAAATTTGAAGTAAATCTGCTTAGTAGTTTCAGAGAAGAAGACGATTGTTGACGCATGGCGACGGACGGCGGACTCCGGAGCATCCCCCTTTGATACTTATAGCTCACCTAAGCCTACGGCTCTGATGAGAAAAAAAACAAAACAAGAGAATTTCATTCTTTTGACATTGACACAATAGAGAAAATAAGAATCCCTAAAGAGAGCCCAAAACGACAAAATTGAAAAAGTTCGGTTTGACTGAGTCTGTTCATGGACGGAACTGTAAAGTGAAAACTGCCGTCCACGCCCCCTAGCACCGGCTTAAGTAGAGTTTAACATTTAAACATGAAATGGTAAAATTTTGAATTTAGAAAACATCCATAGATGTGTTCAAACGGCGGTTATCATAGAACCTTCAATGTGACACTTCCGTGTCATTCCATGAAAAGCGGCGTATGGTCCAAATTAATAGAAAGCATGTGCCCTAAACCAGAAAACAATGGGCCGAACTAAACAAAATGAAATTTTGAAAAGGGATCACAGGTTATGAAGCATGCATATCACAGATAAGACCTTTAAAGACAAAGTTACTAAGCAGGCGACATATCCTTAGGATGATTCAACATTTTACTAATAGGAATATTGGAAAGTCAATTTAAAATCAAAGCCACATCTAAATTATTCAACATGTTCATTTGATAGCAAGTTTTGTTTTGTTAAGTTTAAATCAAATCCTTACATAAATAACAAAATTATAACAATTTAACCAAATTCTGAAACTGACCATGTTGGTCAAGATAATTTAAAGGTCAAGGTCAATGTCAGTTCAAAAATTTTAAAGGTCTTGTCCAAATGTTGTTTTGTCTAAAGTAAGCAGATAATCTACTTATCAATTAACAAGGTCAATTATAGCAAAATCAGAGAAAATTCTATAATTTAACCTTAAAGGTCAAGGACATTATAGGACAAGGTCGATATGAGTTTGCAGTCATTCCAACACTGACCTGTCTGCTAGAAAATAGGCATTCTGATGAATTTTCCCAAATGGACCCTCTTTCCGGTAAAAATATTGTAGTTGTCTACCTTTTAGTTTTCCCCATTATATGAAACTTAATTGCTTCCAGCAAATGCGCAGAAAATTACATAGAAATAGAGAACCAGTGTTCAATTTTTTTCACAAGTATTCACAAAAATTTCATAAATAATGTTTCCTTTTTAGCAGCCAAATATCCTGTATTTAACCCCCAGCCACAGAGCCATTCCAAACATTTTAAATCTATAAATGGAACAATTTCCCTAAATTCTACTCTGTCATCAGAAAATTGAACGATGCCATATTGGATGAGATGGATGATAGAAACCGAGTATAACCACAGTAGTCCTATTCGTACTCATTGCACTTTGTACTGAAAGTGTTTTACATCAACACATCATTTTTGTAGATTCTACTAAATTTTTAATGTTTATTTTTGTTTTCAAAAAATGGGTCATTAAAACGACCAATTATTAACCCTGCTCGCCAACTTGTACATGCCACGCATTATCTCCAATTAACAATTTTACAACACTTTACGACAAACGCCATGAAGGTGTGTCGATTTACGGTACACGGAAGAGACGTTTAAAATATCAATTAACAGTTTAAAATAAAGTGTCAATATATGAGCTTATCAATGACATTAGCGGTTTGTGATTAAAAGGAATGGGATTGAATGTGTCAATATTCCTTTCACTTTATTATTTTGGATTGATGCGAATAAAAGAAAGACCACCGATGTGTTAACAACACACACTTTTGGATAGGTAGATTATTTTGTCTATGTTAAAAAAGATATTGTACAATTCGGAGTTAGAACTTTTACCGTTTTTGCAAATTTAATTCAATACAATTGTCTTTTAAGATAAAATATAGAATTATAAACGGAAAATAATTAATTCAGAACAAAAAATAAAGTTGATTCACGAAGTTTTAAATGGCAATAGAGATTTAAACAATTACAGATACGAATTATTTTTACTTAAACTAAAAAACGTATTTTTTTTACTTTTAGGTCCGGATAAGCCTGAAACAAAAGGATGAGCATTTAGATGGGTGGGGGAATAATGCATCTAACATAAATGAGTATGCAAGAGATCATCAGACCTCAACAACTAAACAACAATGATTTAAATGAAATTTTCTTGTGAAAACATTCGAAAATATATAACGTCTTTTCAATGTGTTTTTAGTTGCATAAAATGATGCATAAATGTGATGATTTGAATAAATAAAAATCTTTTTTGTTGAATAAAATGCATGTTAATTGGTTTATGTTATTCGAACAGTTATGTTTCAATGATCCCAATCGCTAATGATAAGCTCCTACTACAGAAAACATAATAATAGTAAACATAAGAATGGGTCTCCAAATTAAGACCGATTCAATAATATGACCAATTTTACCTGGACCCAGAAGTGGTCTCAATAGCGAGACTTTACTGTATGTACATGTACTTAAATTGATCAAGTTTTCATGATATTTAATAGAATCTTCTTAAAGAAACAGAAGTTTGCATATTCATTATCGTTTTAGGTTATCCATTAAATAATTTTAAGAAGAGGCATTGCCGGGCGAGTACTGTGCTTGACCTTTTTACCTTTTCTCAAAGCAAACAAATAAACGTTTAAACAAATCTTTAAAAAAGAAAATCAAAGACAAAAATAAGTTTGTGTTTTGTTTTTTATAAAAAAAGACAATGTTAAGAAAATATAATCAAAAGTCAAAGTCATGTCTTAATTATTTCACATGTAACATTGACAAGTGTTGTTTTATGACAAATGAATTTAATCCATACATAAATAATAAAATTATGACATCTTGACTGAAATTCCATACTTTGACCTTGAAAATCAAGTCCATTTAGAGCTTAAGGTTAAAATCAGTTCACCCATTAAAGGGATACTCAGGCAAATTAATGACAAAAATTTAAAAAATCTAATGTACTCAAATCACTCTTAAATGACGTGAAATTCTGTATACATTCTAATTTCTATATATTTTTGCGTTTGAAGCGTTAATACATCTCGATATGTTGAACGAAATGTAGACGCGGACAAAATCACAGAGTAGGTTTAAAACAAGTAATGTGATTAGAACAAACACTGGAAGTAACAATAACACATATTAGGGATATTGCATGATTAAAACAAGTTTAAAACGTTCATTTCAGGTGTTCTTTAAAGTTTCCAGAGTCCACTGTGACAACTATTTTGAAATCTTAACACTGTAACCTGACTAACATTGGTCAAGTTAGGAAAGCACCATTTTATTCTTTATAAGGAGAAAAGTTTTGTTCCTGTGACTGCCTAGTGTATTTATATTGAAGATATTTACAGAAAATTGAATAAACAATTCAGAAGGAAGAGATGAAAATTTTGCCTGTGTCTCCCTTTAAACCTTGTTCAAAAGATTATACTTTGTCCAAGTATGAAAAAGTCCATTTATTTAGGGTGTCCGTTTGATCCTTGAAATGACTCTTTGACCCTTCAAATTTCCAAAAAGCTTGATTTGACCCTCAAGATTTTAACTGGAGGGTCAAATTTTATTAAAATAATGGGGATTTGATCTTGTAATCGGTATAACTTCAAAATACCCTCAGGATTTCATGGCTAGTGAACACCCTGGACTATTAATATTAGTTACAGCCAATTATAGCAATTATCAGTGAAAATAATATAATATTGACCTTTCAAGGTCAAGGTCATACATGAGTCAAGGTCTGATTGAGTTTAATATACATGTACAGGAAAGTCCTGACCTAAAAGATGTTGTGTTTTAATATAAAGTTAATCCATTGATAATAACAAAATCATAGCCAGATAAAAATCAAAGCACAGAAGGCGCTGAATTTGTTTGTGTCTCAGATGTCGAAAAGCTGAAGGTTGTGATAATATAAACCAATTTGTTCGTAAAGTCTCACTAAATTCTATAGTAAATTGGCTATAAGACTTATTGCAACACTGATATTCAATTCAATGTTTATTTGGCTTAATCAATTAAAAAACAAATAAACAAAAAAAAAACAAAAAAAAACAAAAAACATGAGTTGCCTTAACTGGGATTTGAACTCCGTACCTCTCGCATCTAAAGCGAGCGTGTAAACCCCTCGACCTCGGGGAATTATAAGGTAACAGCCTGAAGAATTCCATATTATTCTTAATTAGAGTTTGTAACCCTTATTAATTTCGATACATATTGTTCACGGTAGACCTGTTGGAACACTGAAGTAAATAATCATGGAGATGAATATAAGCATGGATATATAGAAGAACTACACAATTTTAGAAATCTTCGACCAGTCGGGAACAATATTTCGACCGACCGGGACCAAATTTTACGTTACGAAAATTAATGCGCCTGTCATTTGAAAATCGTTAAACAGTGATCTCCCCTTAATTGTTCGGCCTTAATGTATATATGAAGGGAAGTAACCGCTTTGAGGAGTTTGGACTACTTTTGGCATTTGCAAATAAGCACATCAGGGTCTGAAATTTCGCTACCATTATTTGTTTGGTCTGACGACAAAATAAAAACAACGACACTTGATTCAATAGCTTGAGCTTGACATTCAAAGTCAATTTAAGTAAAGGTCATCAATATGTTTGTTTGTTAGAAAGTCTTGTTTTGTCCAAGTTTAAATCAAATCAGGACAATTAAATCAAAAATGAATAATTTGACCTTCACCGTCAAGGTCATTCAAAGTTCAATGTCAAAGTCAGTTCAAACTTTAAGGAGGTCTTGTCAAAATTTTATTTTGTCAGAGTATGAAGATAATGCATTTTTAATAACCAAGTAACCGACCATTGTAGCAAAAATCAGTTAAAATTCAACAAGGTTAGCTTTTAAAAAAGCTAGTAGCGACACGCTCCGTAATTTTTTTCCAGGAGTGTGTTTAAATGTAAAAATGACAGTTCTGTTAGCTGAAGAGACTTCAGTGAACATCAAAATAAAAGTGACATATATAAAGTTATGGAAGCCAGTTCTCTCAGTTTAAAAAAGAGGAATATGAATATATATGAAGATGCGTGTAAGCAGTGTAAATACATACACTAAATGCTGGTGGGGGAAATCCAGGGATCGCCTATAGAAAAGCCGGGATCCGGGATCGTATTAAACGTATAGTAATCTCGGGAATTGACCACCTGTTCTCGGTGTCATCGACACAGAATCAGACTTGTTATGTTCAAATAATTTTACTCCTATCAATGTATGAGTATATTGTACATTTAAAACTATTAAAACATACATTTCAATAGGACAGATTATCATTTTCCTTATGAAATCATAACGATACGTGTACAAAATTTTAAACCGAATATATTTGATCTTACATTCAGAACAGCTGGGGTGGTATTAGATATATAGCGATCCCGGGAATTAACCACTGTCATGTCATATTCAGAAAAGCCGGGATCGTATTAACAAATTACGCGATACACACGTCTTTTAACGCCTTTTTCAACCCCCTTTTTGTCGTCATAAATGGTGAACAAATGCCTTATTTATTATGTAGGCCCCAAACAATTGTTTTTGGTTGAGAAATGTTGGTTAAAAAAGTGACCATTTTTTAGGCGCGGCCCCCGACCAAAAGATACATCAAGGGGTTGCCAGAAAGGGGATGTCCTCCCTTCTGTTTGCGGGTTTTGAAGGGGGCGGCATTTCCCCTTATTGCCAAGAAAATTTTGGACTTCAGATCGATCATAAGGTAACGTGTACCAACGCTGAAAAACATTTGACTCTATCTCAATCCATTAAGAAGTTGCAGCACTTCGAAATCAATTTTGCTGGAAAAAATATTTTTGTTATCAATAATGTTAATTATATCTTATGATATTTTCTAAAAATAATATTTAAATACATGAACATAAAATTTAGCCAAATGTTATATTAACAAAAACTTTGATTTTTTCAATTAGGTATATAATTACAAGTATGGCGATTTCCGCATTTTAAGTTTGTTAATAAATAGCTCTAAATAAATTTAAATCTTAAGTTAAATTAATTTACCATTCATTACATACAATTAAAAAAAGTTATCGCTTAAACGCCTTTCATTACGACAATAACAACACAAATATAGTTTATTCCTTTTCTCAATATATCTAATACTATACCGGATCCCGGGCTACCAGGATTCCGGGATTCCCCCCCCCCCCCAACACACACCCTAAATACCAAAAAGGATAAAATGACCGGAAAAAAATGAAAAAGAAAAAAATGCACAGAACCAGATGTACACTTATGTTAATAAACCAAACGAACACTTACTAAAGAGAAAAAAAGTGAAATCGCTAAATAAAAAAAATCATGAAAAGAAACATTTTAATCATCATTATATCTTTGCTGTCAAAGCAATACTTGCTGCTTTTTAAAAATGGCGTGAAAATTGAAGGTTTTTTGACGCTATGTAAGATTAAATTTGATTGGCAAGATAATTTTGGATTCCAGCCCTGACAGATAAATTTTGTAGAAAGCAGGAAGCCCAGCTTCGATTAAATTTTTGGATGAATTCGGAGTTTTAGGTTGTTTCTCAGTGAAATTCTAACGTAATACCGTCTCGCCGTGGCGAGCCGGCATAATTTAACCTTTAAAGAGCCAAGGCCAATTTGAGTTAAATATACATGAAGACAATCCATTCAATAATAACAATAAGTGATTGTCAGTTACAGCAAACAACATGGAAAATGTCAATGATTTGAATTAAAAATCAAGGTAATTCATGATTGATAAACGGCAACGTCAACGCCGACATGACTGTAACAATACCTATACCTTATTTCAAGAAATATGTAAAGCTTAAAATGCCTCAACAGTGCCTTTATTTAGGCTAGTTGAACGTGACTTACATATGCCTAGAACTATTTGCTAGCAGTATAAACCCGTACGGCTAGCCACTTCCATCTTAGAAACACAGAAAGCTATTGTATAAGTACCAGTCCACAGCCAACCTATTCTTAAACCTTTCATCATGACCTGTTTACTGATAAATCAGGTGGTACTACATCCTTTGATGTCATGTGATATAATAGCGAGCTCGACGAGCTGGCCCGCAAAGCGAGCTTCACCGTAACGCGAGTACCTGCTAGATATTAATGGTTTTGAAAACTTTCGTGCGAAGTACCTACTTGACACATCGCGACTTTTCGAATTACAAGATAACGATACTCTGATTGAAAACGGAAGCGTAGACTGGTGTCCTGTGCACTTATATGGAAGCCTTAATAGAAAGGGGGAACCAGAATATACGGAATCAGTGTATAAAATAACGAAGGACAATTGTAAAACAAGTAAATGTAAACTAAAAATGAACGATTTTTTTATACTATTTTACGGTAAAAGAAAATCGAGCTCGCTTTGAGGCTTTGTCTTTTTTATATTATCACATGACATTGAAGAACCCTTTATGTAGTCATATAAATATGACGTAGCTTTGAGATATTTTTGCTTCTTGGCAAAGCAACGTCATATCGGAATTGCTAAAAAAAACCATAGCATGTTCCGCCAGAAAATCGGGCGGAACGAAAAACAATTAAGAAGCGTGTATTTACATAAGTTGTGACCTATTTATGAATAAAACTAAAAAAAAAAACCTTTTGTCAAAATAATTAAACTGTCACATCCGAAAAATCATGATTAAATCATCTCATGTATTTAAATTTCTTTTTACAGCCGATAAACAAATGGCGGTCATACAGTGCGCGAAATCTGATTTGCTAATTCAAATGCAAGCGTTTAACTGAGTCAGAACATTCTAACGGAATATTTTTAACGAAGTAAATGCCCATGCACCGTCAGTGTGTTCGAATATTTTTTCCATTCAAAAATTTGGAATCAATCTGTAAAGCACCTTGTTTAACCAGTATGGCTGATAGATAAAAATAGATTGTTGTTTATATTGTATTTTTAATTGATAAGTACATTTTTTGAGAGTTTTTTTGTGTATGATTGAGCATGAAACTGACAGAAAAAAAGAAAAGAAAATAAGAAGTGGCGAGTTGACCAAAGGTGGCACTAGACGAGTTTACCAGGCTGGTGAAAATGCCCGATCGGGCTTAGACATAAAATATCATATTTCTAGAAAAATAATTAATAAGTTTCTTTCTCACTTTTTGTTTATTAAGCAATGATATATGATACAAATCAAAATATTGTGGTTATCTTTTATTTTCTTAGAATTATTTCTTTTTTTCCCAGTTTTCTGGAAACAAAATATTTGAAGTTCATAAAAATAATATTTTAATGTAAAATTCTAAATAGAAATGTGATCAACAACTTTATTTTGCTCTAGATTATTGCGCCAATACCTTTATTCTATATATTTTGATTACAAATTCTGTTTTTGGCATTTATATTTTGACAATTCTTTGACACTGAACATTTTACTTTGAAGCTTTCTCTGAAAACTATATGAAATGATTGCTGACAGGTGATGGCGCAATGAATTAGAGTATACACAAATTATTTAGCCTATTTTGTTTAACATTTTGCATATGTAACATTATGCCTTGCCTTCTCATCGATTCGTGACCTAAATAAATGTCTGGTATAAATACTTCTGCAAGGACATACACCATCCGAAAACTACACAAGTTTTATATGACACTCGATTTGACAATTCTATCCAATCAAAATGCGTAATTGAACAGGTGTAAATGAGCTTACCATACAATCAGCTGATGGCCTAATTACTTTAAAATATTCGATATTAATGTTTTTCATTTATCAAAAACACTTGCAATTAAGCCAAAAAATCATTATGCTGTAAGAATTTACTTAAGACTTTGAAACATATATTGATAATATCGACTGAAAATAACCATGCGAACATTAAGTGGTGTGGGCACCTACATGTTGATGACGTCACAGGGTGAATCGGATATCACGAATCGATGGGTAAGCGTCCAGCCGAGCAAGACAGTCATGGTTGACATGTTCAGATGTTCTAATCTTTGAGCGGTTGTTTCAAGAAGTAATTTAAAGTTTTTGAACTTTTAAATAATGAATTTATTTAAGAAATGCAGTTATTGAACTGTTTGTATGTCTGATATTTGTTGTACAAGTGCATTTTTTCCAAATAAGAGTCACGAATCGACGAGAGAAAAGCATACTTTTCAAGGACTTCAAAAATGTTGTGTTAACTGTGATAAAAACATGAAAAAAGGGAAATAAGTCTCACTAAAGTGACAATAGCAAAATATTTTTTTCTGTTAATGTCAAAATTATTCTCAATGCAAAGAGTTCCAGGTGGTTGTTAATAGCACATTTAATATTGATAATAAATGATTGAAAAAAAATATAGGTAGATATAGGCAAGTAGATTTCTATCGAAGATTTTGAAGGTTCAGCTTTCATCTTCAATTGACCTTTACGGTTTGTTTTTCTTACACTTTGTAAATAGTATTTTTTATCCACCATAAATATGACGATAAAGTCAGGAAAAGTATCAAGTTTTTTATTCAAATAATTTCCGATTGATCATCATGTTTGTCAAAAAGTTTTAACTTTTCATTTTTTAAGTAAAAATCTCCGTCAAAAACTCAAGCTTGAATTTGAATTGTGCTATTTTGCCATTTACTTCATAATAAAATGCTGTACGGCAAACCTATTCAATAGAAATTAAATTTTTGCGTACATTCACAGCAGATAATTATTATGATATACATAATTATACAATTATAAGGAGTGATTGTTGTTGTTTTGCCTATTTAAAAAAAATAATAATTCAATACAACAAAATATTGATTCAAACACTTTCCACACACCCCAAAAATAAAACCAAGCAGAGCTAAGTATTCACTATGACGTCACTTTAGTGCATGTATGACGTAGTTTTAAAGAAGCATACAATATGGCAGACTTTAATGACAATGAATGTGATTATCTTAGAAAATAAGAAATTTTAACAAATTTAAGGTGGATTGACATAAAAGGTTAGTTGTATTATGAAAGTAAAATAAGTTTAAAGCTTTATATGCATGCGTAGGTCAAAATTTACAGGTATAAGTTGATAGGACACTTATTTTGAAAAAGAAAGTTGTTGTACAAAATATTTTAAATCTAGACTTTTTACGTAAAATATATTTCACAAACTTTTGCAAAAGCAATCTTAGTCGCTTAAATGTGTGCATACTTCTGAAACAATCATCATTTTCTCAATGTTCTTGTTTTTGAAAAAAGTATTTATTTTTCAGTTACAGAGTAAAGATAATTTTAATATTTATAATCAAGCAAAATAACTTGTAGACACTTTACTGAAACATGAAGAAACTGAAATGTAACATTACTACCGCGATGTTAGTGATTACGAAACAGTTTTCAAAACGGCCGACATATGGTTTACGTTTGGTTCATTAAAATTGACTGCATATATTGTTGTTCCTTCTGTCGTACAGCAGAAAAACCCTAAATGTTAAAGCTGTTTACATTTATTAATTAAACTTTTTTAGGTTTCCATAAATATATATCGCTACGTTATGTTGCTATGTCCAAAACATTCACAACTTACCAATCTATTTGCAAACAAAGTTGAGACACATTAATCTGACCGGAGGATAATAATGATGTTAGAAAAATATGGGTGTAAGTAATATATATACATAGTATCCTCCGGTCAGATTAATGTTTCTTAATTTTGTTTGCAAATAGATTGGTAAGTTGGGAATACTTTGGGACATAGCAACATAAAGTCACATAATTACAATCCATTTAAGTATACATACACAAGGCAATTTCTGTTTTTTAAGCCTGCTATTTCCATGTTGTTTTTAAATGTTAAGGACACTCAAATTTGTGTACAGTTTTTAACAAAACTGGTGGTGCAAATATTGTCCGTTGACTGTATAGACCGGAAAGGTTGCAAAAAATAACGTCCACGCATGCTTGATCTGCAAATTTTGTCGCGGCATCATGCTATTTAGCCGTAATTGGTAATTCTCAAATACAAGATGTAAGTATTAGTATCAAAACTGCATTCAGCACCTGAAATTGTATTCTGTTTAAACAGCTAAATGAAATACTTTTTAGTTGCATACATGGCCTGATGGAGTCGTTTTAATAGAGAATACTATGTGACAGAATGTTTAATTTCTTCGTATTGCTCTTTTCTGTAGATATATGATTTCGTTCCGATTTAACACAATTAAAGTTGAAGAGCCTTCATGTCAATATCGCTAAAAATAAAATATTTTCGAAAGTGTATGCAAAAAAAACATTCAAAAAGTGTAACAAAAGGGTCAGTGCAGTTTTATTGTGCTCGCTCAGTTAATACATGATTATTACGTTGTTTTCACAAGCTGCCATGTGATGGTAATAAATAATCGTAAACTCAAGAAACATAGGACATTGTTTTTTTACATCAGTATTCACAAAATTTGTTGATAAACACAGATAATGCAAATCAAGCTAGGTTTTATATGTATTTCCTTGAGTGGCATTTATACCTGAGAGGAAATTAAAACCAAATACATAGACATATACAAAAAGGAGTGAGTATTAACCAGGTTATGCTAGCACACTTTTGTTATATTATGACTCGTGTGGTGTTTATACACTCTATATTATAGCTATACATTTCAAGGCATTATATTATTTGCACTAAATGCTCGTTGAATGTATGTTAAATCTTTATGTAGAATATTTAAATTTTACTGCTTCACATTGAATCTGTCTTAGACACAAACTTTTAGACTGTGACATAAATAAAGTGTATAAACTTATAAACAGACAATATGACTGAAGTGTTAATGTTTACATTAAGCGTTCACGTGTTTCGGTACAACATACATTCAATATAAAATGATAACACACGTTAAAAATCTGAAACCTGTCATTGAACGAACACGTTGTTTTTCTTTTACGACGAGTTTATGTGTAGGATTGTTACTGGTATATGTTTATGTATTTGAAATGAATATTTCATTAAGTTATGTTGGAATATCTGATATGTTTAATCTAAAAAACAACTGTACAACAAGGGTGTGCGTATATGGGAATATATCCAATAACAAAGGTGAGAAAAAATGTTTCTCTCTTTCAAAAAATATAAATTTTACAACTGTGTTCGCAATGACGTCTGCGAGGATGAAAAACCCGTACACTCTGACAGAAACCAAAGATTTGCTGGGGAAAAAAAATATGACATCCTGCAATCGTTTTATAACTAGGGGAGCACATTTGGGGCGAATTGGTAACCAAATGTTTCAAATAGCATCTTTGCTTGGCACAGCTCATAAATATGATATTTTACCTATCATACCAGAAAATTATCCAATTAATAAATACTTTGATCTTCCTAGCAGGATACACATCGATAATAACGAGAGTAATATGGTAAAATGCAAACAGTTGAAATCTGCTGTTTACTACAACTGTTCAAGAGCAATAAACACTGGAAAAAATATCACAATGCTTGGGTTCTGTCAGTCATGGAAATATTTCTACGGCGCATATGACATCGTCAAATCTGTGTTCAGGTTTAAAGATAGGTATTTGCATAGCGCAAAAGAATTCTTGTCTCGAGTTTCACTGCCTGGATATAAACGTGTATGCATCCATATTCGACGAGGAGATATCACTAGTAAAAAAAACAGGAATTATGGTTATGTTATTGCAGATTTAAAATTTATTGAAAAAGCAAAGGAGTTTTTCAGAATCAAATATGCAAAAGTACAATTTATCGTCGTCAGTAATGATAAAAAATGGTGTAGAAATTATATTAAAGATGTTAATATAAGTACTCTGTCTGATCCTGGTGAGGACCTGGCTTTAATGACTTTAAGCGACAACGTTGTTGTTACAACAGGAACATTTGGATGGTGGGGTGCATGGCTTTCAGGAGGGACTACTGTCTATTTTAATCAATATCCAAAGAACGGTAGTGTATTAGCTGCAAAATTTATACATGAAGATTATTACCCTCCAAATTGGATAGGTTTATCATAGTGCGCGTCACTTATTAGAACATAACATTTCATTTGAATAGTTTTATCTTCTCTGGATGTAACATTTTCAGAACGTCATTGTCATATGACTACATTTTAAAGTTTCCTGGATTTCTAATTGACGTTAGGGCATAAATATAGAGACACTTTGCGGAAAAGTTCCAGTCATCCTGAAAATTGAAACAAATTAACGATTACCTACTCAGATAAAAAATAAGCAGATTTCGAAAGAAGAAGTGACAATGTATCATGCAGACATAACATTGTTTAGCATTTGTCATGTAAAGATTACCATGATATAGATAAAGGAATTCCTTTAAAAGTTGTATTAATCTGATATTATTGTGTTTCACATTTAATATTTACTCATGTTTGCATGTTCTTGAGATTTTTCGTCGAATGCTCCGATCTGCATGATATTGTCATACAAATAAAATGCGCCTAAAATGCACCTGAATCGACCATTTATTTAACACGTATAATTCACTTTTTCCTTGGAAATTGGAGAGGAAGCCCAGAACCCAAACCTTAGTTTAGTATAAAATGTCAGCAAGTTTCTGCCGGATTTTCCATTCCAAAGTATCAACAACAAAACAATGTAACTTTCCACATCAATTTTATTGTTGAAAAACATTCTTTGCATTATTTTGTTTTTTATATGCAATTGTTAATCATTGAACACATTTCAACATGCTGGAATTAAATAATGTAAGTCAATATCAAAATAGACTTAATCACATGAAGGATTTCATGATATTTATGGACAGTTTTTAAATATTTGAACAAACCATAATTTTGTAGATTTTTATCTGTAAATTTACAGATAAAAATGTGATAAGAAAATATAAGAAGTGGCATTATATTCAAAACAGCAGGTTAAAATGAATATGTCTACGTATTATTTGATAAAATGTATCAGTATGGTAAGATTCAGATAATTTGATGATTTTCAATTTTCACTTCATAAAAAGATGAAACTCACTCCATTACCTTTGTAGATATAAAAATCAATAACACATCTTGTTTTAAGCTGCATATTTTAACATAAAACTCAAAACAGCAAGTTCCTCATTGAATATCTGTAAATTTATGGATTGAAAAATCTTAAAATTTCTAGAATGTCTATAAATTTACGAACAGTCCGTAAATATCATGAAATCCTAGATCTGTTAATTGTGTCTATTGCCTGTGAGTGACAGAAGCAAACTATTTTTGTCCTGTTAATGTAAAATATTATTCTCAATAAACAAACAAAGTTTCAAAGAAATATCTTTATCTATTTTCTAGAAATATGATTTTTAATGACATAAGCTCGATCGGGCATTTTCACCAGCCTGTTAACCGTTGACCGAACTGACTTGACAACATGTGTTTTTGTAAATAAACTCAAACTGTCGCTTAAGATAACATTTCCTGTGATATCTTCATTTAAAGTTGATAAATTTGATGAAAAATGAAATGTTATTAGAATATTTTAAAAGGTACACAGATAAAAAGAAACAAATAACTCGCACATGCTTTCCATAAGACAATGCCGCCATGTTGGATGTCTAAATAACGTAGATGACCGTACAAGACCGAAAACTTCGTTTCCGTCAATAAATAATTTGATGTAAAATTTAAAGGAGGGCAAAACTCGATTTTTAAACGGAGGTGTTTATTCCAAAACAAAAAGCGTTTTATTAAAGAGTTTGAATAAAATATCAATAAATTTCTTGAAAAGTTCAAACATATTGACTTTCTCGATATTTAATTCAGTTTTGAAAAATGTCTGCCCAAGGTGCATAATGCTTATATTCTGAAATATATGCAGCACGTCTTTTAAAATGGCTAAAAAATTGTTTTTAAGTTTTTCAAACAAAACTAACAATCTTATAACAAAGCATGAAAAAATAGACCCACTAATTGATAAAAACTGGAAAAAAATCGGAACGTAAGTAATGGCGTTAGTCCAAAATTAAGGCAGACAGGATTTCGTCTGCCTAATTTTCAGGTCTGCCTATTGAATGTAAAATTTATACTTCATATCTGCTTTATATTTAATATAAGTTTTTTATACTATATATATAAGTTTTATAATACTATAGTGTCACCCCTACTGAAAGGGCTAGCCATTTCTGACTTATAAGACAACTTTTGCTTGCATACCACATACATCCTAACTCCTACCACTTTGCCAGGCGCCAGGCGGATAGAAATTGGTAACCATTCATTTTAACTACCTCGAGGCTCACGAAGCGGCCATTTCGGAACAAGTCCCATGACAAACGTTCATCCTTGAATTAACACTCCCCGTGGGGCTCAAACATTCGACCTCCCGATCCGAAGGCGGACGCCTTAACCACTAGGCCAACAGTACCGGTTATATATTTGTAATTGGGCCTGTTGCCTGTGACCTGTGACGTGTGACATGTGATCTGTCACCCAACAAGCGTTTTGATATATTTAAATAAATAAATATAATATATATATACTCAAACTTGGCATCACTACTTATTGGGTCCACCTATTTCCAGTAATTCTAGAGGCAAACGAGACGGTTTAGTTTTTAAAGTTTAATCCCCTTATACTATATATAGCTTCAGATTCACAATAACTAAATGCAAAATCTATATATCACACATTGTAACATTTTACACCAGACCTCGTACCTGGGTCTTTATGACCCAACTATTTATATGTTTATACATGTATATATAACGTAATGATCCAACAGTTTCTTATTCATATATATCATTTTATACACAAACTTGATAAAAAAAGTGGGTCCAAGTGACATTACAAACTTTTTGGGTCCGCCTATTTCCAGCATCTCTAGAGACATTGTGTGTGTGTGTTGGGTTTATTTACCCTCGCCAACGGTATAAAACTATATGGGCGAGCATATGCTTCATTTATGATAGGGATAAACTGTACTTAGTTAAATAACTGCTTACGTAGCTAGTGAGTGCCATATTAACTGCCCTAAATAGGAAAATAATTGCCATAGATGATGCCGGAAAAAGGTGGGATTATATCCCACACTTAGATTAAACAACTGTATTTAAAAATTAAACTTAAATTAAAAAGGGGGGAAGACGCATATACGCGTACGCCTGCTATAATTGGACAAAAAACCCTAAGAACTATATTTATTGATTACTTAATTAAATGCAAATCATACTTGTAATATATAACCTAGTATTAGAGGGGGGAATACACTTAAACGCGAACGCCTTCCTATAGCAGGCCGACGCAGTAAAACACTTTTAGTTCTTTATTTTTAAACTTTATTTCACACATGATTATTCATATAAACCTTAGTAACACGCCTGAGAACATAGTTTCTACCTTTCAATACGGCCATCATATAGTATAACTTCTTTTTTATTAGGGAGAACAATGCAGCAACGAATTTTGACATTGTGTGTGTGTGTGTGTGTTTGTTTAGCTATCAATAACAGGACCTGTGCGAGAAAAACGACCTACCGTCTGAGGACGGTTTCGATTTAGAGGACTTACACACGGGTCCTCAGATTGTTTTCTTCGATTTAGCTTCGAAAACACGATTTCTGTTGTTCCTTTAAAAATTTGGGAGTCCTCGTTTTGATAGGTCTTATAGGACTTCGTACACACCATATACACAATTTACTACTACCACGTGATGAGGTGTGTAAAATTTTACCCAATCAGTGATAGAGTAACGTTTACCGCGTTATTTTTCAATGACCTATGCTAGGAGTCACTTGATTGGTTGATATTTTCACCAACAAGCCGCCATTTTGGATCACGATTGTCATGTAAGTGTGTCTTTTTATTTTCCTACAGAGGACATTTTACTTAATGAAAATCATTAAATATTCGTCGGGAGAAGGTGCAGAAGGTTTTGTTTAAGCAAAAACGTACAAAGGTTATGATTCAATGGTAGGCTATTGTACAGTTCACCACTTTGTTTTTTTCCCGGACGTTCACAGCAAATTTTTTTTTTTATTCACATGCTCTGAAAGTAGCTGTATTATTGAATTATAAACTGCAGATTTAAAGGCCGTATCTGTAAACGTTATAAAAGATAAGCAAAAAGGTGTGAACGATTTTTTGTTGTTGTTTTATTTTAGTTTTTTTTTTTTTTTTTTTTTTTTTCTTCATATTCATGCTGCAATAACAGAACGATTCGCCCCCATTACGTCTTATCCTGTATAACATTTTAATCTATGTTTTGGGTATATCTTATGTTTATGGAGAAGACAAGCAGAAAATTAGCTAAACAATATGAACTTACAATTCTGCTAAACCATTCTGTATGGTACCTTTAACTTAACTCACAGACCACAGGTTCCACGTTTTATTTTCATTTCCCGGTTAAAGTAAACGATCAGCAGTATGCAGAAAGATAAATTTACAAGTTTAAGTAGAGACATAGATCTATAATATAGATATTATCTACATCTTTGGACTATTAAAAGAAAAAAATTCTTATCAATTACTTACTAATATTCATTCACAGCTATATTTTTGCATACATTGTGTATATCTAGTCATGTTTGCAATAATAATAGTAATAATATTAATAATAGTGAATAAGTAAAACAAATTGGATACAATATAGGTACTCTTCAAAAATTCCCCAAAATATTGAGTAAATAAAACTTCAGTCATTCAAAATGTCCATGCCAACACTTTTACTTATAGAAACGGTTACTTAACACTTAAGTTCCTCTCATATTCAAATTCTTTTTAGTACCATTACTGACGTTTGTCACTGTCAAATATGTACAATCAAATGCTACATCTTATATCAGTAAGAGTTCCACAATGGGTGTGTTGGTTCAACGAGTAATTCAGTTAAGGAATTCTTCGAAATTTAAATGTAACTGTGTATATTATGATACTTCTTTCACTGTTTCAATTCGAGGTATTTTCACTCATTAGTTTTTTGTTTGTTGTTTTTTTTTTGTTTTTATTAAGAAATTTATTTATGACTGCTGGAATATTCGTTAATATTATATATATTTATTCACTCATTAACATTCTATTCATGGTTGCCTAAGCATTCATGAAAGTTTGATCACCTAAAAATCAAAAGTTGCTATGATTAAATACGATAAAGCATTTCAGTTTTTAACATTTTTATATAATTAATACATATTTGGTTGTGTGTGTTCTTAATTAAATTGGGCAGCTAAGCCCTTGACATATTATTAGTAATTTAGTTGTCTTATACCTAAATGGGTGACCACGATGTTGCTGATGTCACTTCCGATTTTTTTTCCAGGAAGTGAAGGATGCTGCAAATGAGGAATCAAGTCCTGAAGACAAAATTGAAGTTAAATTCATAGACTGCTACAAAGGTGTGGTTTAAATCTTGCTTAAGTTGTTTGATACTTTGCTTTCTGTTGCTTTTTTAGAGTTAAGTTCATAACAATGTTCATAACAAGCAAACTAGAGTCTAGTTTGACAGTTTGATGCAGTAAACAAATGTAAACAAACTATTTTATTTCATATTGTAATGTCTTTAGAATGACAATCTGTGTGAGGGCGACAAAAACTATGAAAGTTTGCAAATAAATAATATCTTAAGGTTAATTTTCTCTAAATTTATGTTATTTTGACAGACTGTACCCCACCCACCCTTGTAAAACTTTTGCTAAACAAATCGAACTGTACCCAAGGCAAAACGTACTCAATTCAAAGTTAAAACAAATTAAAAATTGTATTTTATTTTACTTCACTGCCTGTGGTCAAATTCTTCTCTGGAAGATGTCCACCCTTATATTAGAAATAGTCAATGTTTATTAGAGTGATATGTTATTAAATTGGAAATGGCTAGTCGCACTAGACCGTATGGCTAGCCAAAAGTTCTAGCTGTACGTGAGTCATATACGGATAGCCAAGACACACTGTATTGGCTAGACGTATGGCACTTTTTAGCTTGACTAGACAAAGTAATTGGAGAGCTGGCCTTCTCGCCCCGGCGTCAGAGTCCAGATTTCAGAATAAAGTTTTGGTGCAGATAAATATTTTTCAACCTCAAACTTCAAATATATGTTCCTTATCATCAACCAAATCTTATTTGACAAGGTTCATAACTCTAGGACCAATATTTTCAGATTTATCTCCCCTTTAACTTAGAATTTTGCTTAAAAAATATTTTTTCTATAACTTTTTCATTTCTTAAGGTATCGGCTTTAAACTTCAAGGGGCGTCCGTTGCCGAGTGGTTAAGGTCGTTGACTTCAACCCACTTGCCCCTCACTGCTGTGGGTTCGAATCCCGACAGGGACTTTGGATTCTTCCATGTGAGGAAACTTTCAAGCTAGCTTACGGAACATCGGTGGTTCTACTCAGGTGCCCGTTCGTGCCTGAAATAATGCACGGAAAGGCACCTGAGGTCTTCCTCCGACAGTAAAGCTGGAACGTCGGGATATGACCTATACTGTGGCAATGTGACG